AACCTTATGAATGTGATGTTTGCAACAAGAGATTTCCAGATCCAAGTAATTTAGCGAGACATGAAAGAACACACACTGGAGACAAACCTTATGAATGTAATGTTTGCAACAAGAGATTTCCAGATCCAAGTAATTTAGCGAGACATGAAAGAACACATACTGGAGACAAACCTTATGAATGTGATGTTTGCAACAAGAGATTTCCAGATCCAAGTAATTTAGCGAGACATGAAAGAACACACACTGGAGACAAACCTTATGAATGTAATGTTTGCAACAAGAGATTTCCAGATCCAAGTAATTTAGCGAGACATGAAAGAACACATACTGGAGACAAACCTTATGAATGTGATGTTTGCAACAAGAGATTTCCAGATCCAAGTAATTTAGCGAGACATGAAAGAACACACACTGGAGACAAACCTTATGAATGTAATGTTTGCAACAAGAGATTTCCAGATCCAAGTAATTTAGCGAGACATGAAAGAACACATACTGGAGACAAACCTTATGAATGTGATGTTTGCAACAAGAGATTTCCAGATCCAAGTAATTTAGCGAGACATGAAAGAACACACACTGGAGACAAACCTTATGAATGTAATGTTTGCAACAAGAGATTTCCAGATCCAAGTAATTTAGCGAGACATGAAAGAACACATACTGGAGACAAACCTTATGAATGTGATGTTTGCAACAAGAGATTTCCAGATCCAAGTAATTTAGCGAGACATGAAAGAACACACACTGGAGACAAACCTTATGAATGCGATGTTTGCAACAAAAGATTTGCTCGATTGTTTATTTTGAGGACACATAGAAGGACACACACTGGAGACAAACCTTACGAATGTGATATTTGCAACAAAAGATTTGCTCGAATGTTTACTTTGAGGACACATAGAAGGACACACACTGGAGACAAACCTTATGAATGTGATGTTTGCAATAAGAGATTTACTCAAATGCATAATTTAAGGACACATGAAAGGACACATACGTCTGGAGACAAGCCTTATCAATGTGCTGTTTGCAACAAGAGATTTTCAGATACAAGTACTTTAGTGAGACATGAAAGAACACATACTGGAGACAAACCTTATGAATGTGATATTTGCAACAAGAGATTTACTCAAATGCATACTTTAAGGACACATAGAAGGACACATAAAAGGACACATACGTCTGGAGACAAACCTTATGAATGTGATGTTTGCAACAAGAGATTTTCATATCCAAGTAATTTAGCGAGACATGAAAATACACACACTGGAGACAAACCTTATGAATGTGATGTTTGCAACAAAACATTTGCTCGATTCTATACTTTGAGGACACATGCAAGAACACACACTGGAGACAAACGTTACGAATGTGATATTTGCAACAAAAGATTTGCTCGAATGTTTACTTTGAGGCAACATAGAAGAACACATACTGGAGACAAACCTTATGAATGTGATATTTGCAACAAGAGATTTACTCAAATGCATAATTTAAGGGGACACATAAAAGGAGACACATGTCTGGAGACAAACCTTAATATGAATGTGATGTTTGCAACAAGAGATTTTCAGATCCAAATAATTTAGTGAGACATGAAAGTACACACACTGGAGACAAACCTTATGAATGTGATGTTTGCAACAAGAGATTCACTCAAATGTATAATTTAAGGGCACATAAAAAACACACACAATGGAGACAAACGTTACGAATGTGATATTTGCAACAAAAGATTTGCTTGATTGTATACTTTGAGGACACATAGAACAACACATACTGGAGACACACCTTAATATGAATGTGATGTTTGCAACAAGGGATTTTCTCAAATGGGCAATTTAAGGACACATAGAAGAACACATAGTGGAGACAAACCTTATGAATGCGATGTTTGCAAGAAGAGATTTTCAGCTCCATATAATTTAGTGATACATGAAAGAACACATACTGGAGACAAACCTTATGAATGCAATGTTTGCAACAAGCAATTTTCAATTCCATGTAAATTAGCTAGACATAAAAAACACAATTGGATACAAACGTTATGAATGTGACGTTTACACCAAAAGATTTGCTCGCCTGGATAGTTTAAGGTCACATAAAAGAACACACTGGAGACAAGTCTTATGAATGTGATGTTTGTAAAAAGAGATTTTCTCATATGGGCCATTTATTAAGGACACATAAAAGAACACACACATGAGACAAGCCTTATGAAGTATAAAGCAAGGTGTATGCACGATGAAGGTGGCATATGCACGATGGAGTTTAAGTTCCCTGTTATTTTTTCAATGTTGCATATTTGTGATGAAAAGTGTTTTGTTTTAGCTTTATTTTGTTATATGTAAATATTGTCAATTTAAATACAATTATCATTCATCCTGTAAAATTGACTCCATATTTACACAGCAGTTTAAGCAAAACTTTACTGAACTTCAGAAATCATGAAAAGTATATCATTAGTTTTGAGTGTGTACTATATATATAACATACAAAAGATTCTCCTCTCAATGCCATTCTCGTACCCAGAGCCCTTCTTACACGCGGTGCGACGAGGGTCTGGCCATAAAAACATGGTAAGAAAACAATGTCCGGTGTTAGAACTAGCCAATCAGATGCCAGTTCGGAATAGGGATTTGGCCAGAGTCCCTTGTCGCACCCGCGCGCGTAAGAAGGTCTCTGGGTACGAGAATGCTCTTAATGCATAATAATCCAGGGCTCACACAAAAGCCCTGGGAACGAGGTTGGGAACAATCTTCTAAACACTGACAGCATAAAACAAATACTTGGGCCTAAAAAAATACCTGTGGTTCCGGTTTCATATCGCGAAAAAATTAGGGTCGGTAGGTCGGAAATAATTTTTTTTTGAATATTTTTTTCATGTTTTTTTCAATAATTGGTGATAACAGAAGCCATGTTGGCAGCAGCCCGCAGCCACCCGGAGAAAATAGGGTCGCACAGTCTGGGTCAATCGCGTTGAAAAAATAATAGGGTCGGCAGAAAAAAGTAGGGTCGGAAAAAGTTTTTTTAATCCGCATTATCCCAAAAAACGTTTTGAAAAAATTTTTGGACGTTTTATTTTCGTAAGAAAATGGCCATGTTGGTGTTCTAGACCATTTTCATGTCATGTACAGTAGTTAGTGAATATGTTTGCTTAGAAGCCTGCTTAGAAAGTTAGGTATTGGATTAGGTTTCGTGACATGAAAATGATGAAAAGGTGGAGTTATCAAGACTTGCCCAAAGCTGTACACATTTTTTTACAACAGTGAGTCTAAAACAAAGTTTCAAGCTTTGAGTTTCGTTTTTGATTCGAGCTCGACGAGTTACTTGACTCAGGTTCGTTTCCAGGGTCCACAAATGACACTCTGCCTTTATCCCGGCTGGGAGCATGAGTCGGGAGTGTTGACGGTGGGGGCGGGAATATATCTCCGATCGGCGGATACTTCCCGGGGCTTCGGTCAACCGGAGATCTGTTTATCTTCGACGTTGTTTTGGGTTGAACCGGCGAAAACGCTGTCGGTTTATGAATGCTTGGGGAGAAATTTCTCCGATCTTGTGCTTTCGAGCCTGCAGTATTGAAGTCCAGCGGTGGCAACAGAGGAGGAGACGGGATACTTGGTGAGGAATGCCTTGAATTGGATTCAGCGCCTGTGTTTTTAAAGTTTATGGGTGGTAATGGTGGAGGTGTAGGGATATTTTTGGGATGTTGTATTAGTGGGTCTAATTGGGCGGGTGACTTGGGACTTGGATATGATCTAGGGTCTTTTGCCAGAGGTAGTTTGGTGGTGGGTGAGGGGGTACCCGAGGGCTGTATGGGTAAATTAGTCGGAGGCTGTGGTCTGTTTGGAGATAACTTAGGATTTGTAGCCAGAGATTGTTGCACCTCACTTGGGTGTTTTCTTGAGAAATGATAATAGTCTGGCTCTTCTTCTTCCGGGTATGTAAACAGCTGGGGGTCATGGTTACTACGGCGACTCGGTTTGTATCCGACCAACTTAATTCCATCGCATTCGTTGCAAACGTAGAACGCGTTCGAGGCGTTAGAAGCGTCGGAAGGTGTCGGAGATACGACTCGTTTCGGAGCGCCGTCGGTGGAAGTTTTGGTTGGTGGTTCGACAATCGTTGGCGGGGATCGTAAGTTTTCTTTTAGTTCTTTGATAACAGGAGACATCGACTGGGACGTTTCTATTCTTGGAGTTGGTGGCCGGGTTTGACAGCCCTTACACTGGAATTTCTCAATAGGTCGTGCCATCTTCATTGTAATTTCAGGGTAGATCAGTTCGTAACCGGTAAGGTAGCCGTAAATCTATAGCCAATATAGAAAAGGATTTTGTTGGTGCAAATGCGGGCGGAGAAATTACTTTCTGCACAACAGAGCCGTAAATGCGAGTAGGACATAATGTACATCAAATTGTCTGGTACAGTGATAGTCAGGGTTTATTTTAACGTGCAGTTCTACACAAAATGTGCAGTCACAAAATTAACAAAAATATAACCTCAAAACAGTCTTCTCATCTACACGTTTTCCTTGTGAATGCTCCAGATGCCAGAAATGCTGTCATTGAGCATCAAAAATCTAAATGTTTTCTGGGAGAGGACCACCAGACCCTCAAATTTTCCTCACAAATCATATATGTGCTGGGGTGATGGAACAGGAGGTAGGACGAGCGAAGCTATATCCAAAAGAGATTAGAGTGGGAGAACCTAATATTCTTTGCTACCTAAGGTTATTATATCTTGAGTATTTATGATTCCCAGTTACATGTTTTGAAACAGTTTTTGTGGGTGGTTGGGTGAAACAAGTCTTTGCCAGAACTTACGAGCCTCTAAATTCAAAATTTGGGGGAAACCCCCTACTTGTAGCTTCCCCACCCAGAATCGAGTTTGTCTGGCCCCACCCAACCACACCTTATTCTGCCACCTATATACTAATTGAGAGCCTATCATAATTTGCAACGTTATCTACAACTAAATCCTTTGACCCTCAGTCAAACATCCTTTCACCCCCCAGTCAAATACGTGATGCTTCGTAGCATCCCTAATATGTGCAGTTCTAAACTTTTCTTAAAATAAACCCTAGTGATAGTTCACAAAACAGTAAAACATCTTCCAAATTTGCATCCTATGAATTCAAGTTCAAATTTTAAACCACCCATTTTTGTGCGCAAGCTTGATTGTTAAAGTGGTTTTATAAAACAGCCCTGAAAATTTACTTCTTAAAAGTAAAGTTCTTTTGTTGTCACAAATGCAGAATTTTCAGTTTGGTGGACGTTTTACAACTTTGTGCATTTTGTTTCATTCAGACACTCAGGCTTTTAACCAGAAGGGCGTCCAGGCGTCCTGGGACGCCCCTAGAACGAAAAATGGACACCTTTGGACGCCCAAATTCTGGGGGGAAAGCGAAATTATTTTCAATTATTTCCCTAAGTACATTAATATATCTGAAACGAAATAGCTTCAATTCTCATTATCATTATAAATTAGACAGTTTGATCAATTTGATGGTGTACTTGGCTGAATGAAAATGTCATAGTTAAGTAAAGAAGCATAACGGCACAAACTCACAAAGCCAAGTGTGTTTGAAACATTTCAAACGAGCTTGGAACAGATACTGACATGAAGTAAGGTAAACTTCAAAGGTTTTCCGGAGGAACGTTTTCTCGAACACCC